TGCACGAGGTGATCGAAATCGGCGCAAGCGATGATGCCCCGGTCCTCAGGAACCGTTGATATGTGTTCAAGCCGACTGATTTTCCATTCGAGCTGAAGCTGCGGTCGCGGCTGATGCCCAGAGTCCGCTCAGGCCGTGGTCCTTTCGCAGCGTGTGGCGGAATTCGCCGCTGGGCTCGGAGCCCAGCGCAGCCAGCGCAGCTCTTCGGGAAAGCCTTGCTTTCTGGTGTTCACGTGAGCCATCCCGTGTCGTTCTTCCGGATGTCACCCATGGCCCACGCCGCGTATTCATCGGAGCTTTATTTTTGCATGCGCCCGAGGTCATCAGCCCTTTACACGCAGTTCGAGCAATCTGTGCAGCAGGCAGGATTTCGGACACGAAGTTGCATGCCCTGACGAGTGCCCGACGAGGAGCTGGAAGGAGCCGGACTGGAAATGCCCAGCTGCTTCCGTGCTCCCGTCCGAGATTGGCCATAGAGCGCTGTCTGAATCGCCACCTGGTTGGTCCACGTGCTGCTTCTTTGTTGCTACTACTGTCGCTCACTGCCAGGAGATGGAAAAGTCGCAGTCGCAAATGTGGAGGCCACCCGCCAAGAGACAATCACCATGTAGTTTTTGAGAAGAAAGACAACTTGAGGCGTCCACCCTTTACTGAGACTTCGACGGGAGTTTGAAGGGCGACGATAATCGAACAACCTCATCACGCAAGCCACGAAGTAGCTCTGCCCTCCTTGTGTGAGGTTGTTGACAACTTCGTGCTTCCCGAATCGGTGTGGCTGGCCCCGTGCTCACTGACTTAACGCTTGGCGTTGTGCTCACAGCTTCCTGTTTTTCTTGCTCAGGCTGATTCTGACTGGAGTCCGGGCCTTACGACATGCGCCGAAGCCAACGCTATCAGAAGGCAGGAGAAGACTAATCGCAGAACCAATGAACGTAGCCATGCAAAAGCAAAGAGAGCCATCGCGCTCAGCAACAAGGCTGAAGGTCGTCCTCCGTGAAGACGAGCATCAAATTGATGGTACCAGTGGTCGTCGTCGTCGAAGTCGCAGTAGTATTAGTATATAGTGGGAATAGTAGTATGAGTAGTCGTCGGCGTAGTAGTAGCAGCAGTAGCATTAGCCGCAGCCTGCGGTGTCACCTCGCCTGGACCAAAGGTCAGTGCCAAGATCAGTGCATCGCCGAGTCGATCCAGACCAGAAGCTGCTGGCCCAGTGGGGCTTGCTCGAAATCACCCCCGAGGTGTTCTGCTGGGGACTGTTTCGGATTGCTGACGGTTTAGGACGGAATGATCGGCGTGCCATGCCAAAGTTTCGAAACATGCGCTGTAATTTGTAATCACTGCAAGGTTGGATTGTATAGCGTGATGTCCGAATTGTCCCAAGCGACGGCCATCATGGGGATGACTGCTGGATCCTGGGTTGCTGTCGCAACGCGTGGAGTCAGTCCAAAGATGCTCTTTTGCCGTCAGGTCTCATCTGCAGCACCGGCAACGAGTTTGCATGCAACTTATCAGGCCGCCGGCGGGTCACCGAATCCGCTCTGACAGAAATGCACCATACCGAGATGTTGGCTCGAACACCTTCCGAAGCCACCTCCAGTGTGTGTGTGTGTGTGTGTGTGTGTGTGCGCATATTGCGAATCTACATGTAGCAGTACATGTCAAGCACATATGTACTCAGACAGAAGCCATGTTCGCAGATACAGGCATCGTTCGTTCGGGAAGTTGCTTCCGGTCAGGCACACGGCCTTCGACAGAGCGGCCTTGCGAGGACTGGACGTTGGAGGGGGATGCCAGCGAATGTTTGTGGGATTTCCCATCGGCTCGGGACTTTAGCCGCTTAGCCTAGAAGCAAAGAGATGCTGCCTTCCAGAACTTCGAGAACTGCGCCTTTGAATGGGCATGCCCACTCGGTGGGAAAGCCAGCGACATGGCCAGGGACTGAGCTCAAACAGCCAAGCAGAAGCGCTGCAGTCATGCCGCGGTACATGGATGCCCTTAACGAGCCTCTGATGAAAGTCCTTAGGTCATTACATAGCCTATTGGCAGAACAGTGCAAGACCCCTCGATTGAAAGGGGCGAAGCAGGCGAATGTTACTTTTAGCTTCAGATCTCAACAGAAGCCTGGATCTCGAAGTTGAGGAATGTCACGAGCAGATCCTCCTGCTTGTGGGCCGTCTCTTCAAGTTTGCGGGACGTGAAAACTCGGAGTTTGGGGCTGTCAAGGCTGAGGCTGTGCAGGTCTGTCAAAGGTAGAGTGTGAAGTGTGGAATTCATGAAAGTTTGAGTTGCACCGGTAGTGGGGGGTTGCGATCCGAGCTTTGAGGCGTTTGCAAGGGTCCAAGAGTCCAAGTTAGGACAAACCATGGCCAGGCATCATAGTTGCTGGGCTGCTCGCTCTTTGGTGCTGTTGCTGCCTCGCCTATCGTGCGAACCCGAGCTGCCCATTTCATGTCCGTCCAAGGTATGTCAAGCTGTCACTGGCAACTGATGTGGTTGAATGGGGCCGGCCTGCCACCGGCCCACTTCCCGGTCCCACCTAAACTTTCGTCGAAGCGCAGCCTTCTCAGCCCGTGGTGGGCCAGGGCACCCTTTCACTGTGAAAGCACATGATACCGAGACGAAATTACACGACATTGCAAATTGACCAAAAGATCGCAACACATCTCAACATGTCGCAATGCTTCTCAGGAAGTACTTGGAGTTTTCGGCCGATCCGAAGCTTTAGACCCGGCCAACGCCTAAACAGAGCAGAGAGGAAGAGGGCCGAAAGACCTAACTCAGACTCTCCAGCATCCGAAAGCCGCCGATGTTGTGGTTTTTGACTTGACCCGCTGACTTTTGAGGTTTTGCTCGCGCCTTCAGGCCTGGAATGCCAAAGCCATGACGGCTTTGGAGTTTTGTAGCCGTCGTAGACTTTTTGGTACGGCAGCACTGTTCCGAAACGGATGTGCGGTAGAGTCAGAAGCGAAAGCGAACCACAACAGAATAGTTCGGTCTGGTTGTACTTGTGGTCGCGTCAGTTGAGTTTCCTGCTGGGACTTGGGAAGGTCATGCTTCTGCTGCGTGCCGGGCTACTGGTCGGGCTTGCGTATATACTTCCTAAAGCATGTGTCTAGCACCTCCGACAACAACAGCAACAACCGACTGAGCCATTACCGGCCTCTTCTTGAGACTTGGTGTTGCAGAGTTTGTTGAGGAATCAACAATAACAGGCAGTCTTGCATTGGAATCTTAGCTGAGTCTGTCGGGAAAGCCGACAATGATCTGCTTTGGTGCTTCTTCACTGCTCTGCCAAGCCAGGCTTCTGTCGCTGCTGCCCAAATTGCCCCTTGCCCCACGGATATCGGACCGACAGCGCCAACCGTTTGCAGGCCTGTCGCAGGTCAGCTGAAGCTGATGACCCCAAAGGGGGAGGCCATGAAGGCTGGGCCTGCGCCGGGAAATCGGCTGTATCGCTCGGATCCAGAGCAAACACCGCAGTCACCGCAGGAGGTATTGCCGGTAGCGTCGGCGAAAGTCGGAGCTCGTCAGGTCAATTTCTACATCGTCGAGGAGAGCAGGGGCCTCGACCGACGTGTTGCTGTGTGCTCTTTACAAATCTGCATTTGGAGGGCGTGGTTCCGACGCTTCCAACATCGTCGATCCTACATGGCAGCTTCACTTTCAGACTGCACCGAAAAATGGAAGCTTACTCGCAAGCATGAAGCCATGTAAGAACTCTCTTGGTAGGCTTTGGACCAGTCTTCGCTCATTGAACTTCCGTGTTGAGCCTAGGTCAGCCTTAAGCACAGAGGTCCCAACAAGTTGCTGAAATGGAGATCGCGACATGCGTCCGTTTCCACATCCGACGGTAAGATCAGCTCTGGGAGCTCTGCAGGCGAGGTCCGTGTGGACAAGACAAGGACCACTCAAACGCAGGCCATTCGAGCTGTTTGCACAGTCCGCGCTCAGTGGTTCCAGGAATTTTGAGAGCCCATGCAGCGAGATTTTCTGGAGTTAAACTGACGCGGAAATCCCTCTAAAGCCTGTCTTTCGGTCCAGGACTCCTCAGCTGCCTCGAGTGCTCTGGGGAGAGGATGGTCGCACGTGAGCAGCAGAACTTCGCAAAAGGAAGTGAAGTCTCACGTGGCGGGAAGCTCAGGCCAAAACTTGATCAACTTATGTGGCAGGGTTTTAGGGCCGTACCGTTGCAGTACCACTGGCAGAGGGAAGCTTTCAGTTTTGGAGCTGGGATGCGAGTCGCTCCACAGCTCGAAAACAAGGTCTGGGATGTGGACGTCGAAAAGGCCAAAACGCCAGTCTCTCAGGCTGGTGAGTATGCGCCGTGCGGGACTAGAAAGTCCTTTCGTGAGCCAGCCCCCTGGAGCGGGGTAGCGGAGCTTATCCCCTCCTCTTCTTGCTGGCTAAGCGCAAGGATGGAGTTCCACGAGGGCAAGATGACGAAGCTCCAGAAGCTCGCAGGCACTCGGGGTTTTTGAAGAGCTTGTAAGCAGCCCGGAGACTGGTGCAGAGTTCAGCTCATCAGTGCATTCACGGTAGTGCTGTTTCGAGGGGCCAATGCATCACAGCAAGAAGTTCTCCAGTCGGCATCCAAGCCAATCGTTCGCTTGTGAGCATGGGGTCGGTGTCAGTCTATACGATACTTGGCCATGGATCCAGAACCACAGCCTCCCTCGCCATAGAACGTTTTCAGCATCCTTGGGTTGACCGAAACGTCCACTCAAGAAGAGGCGAGGCCGGATCCTGAGAACACGTCGCAGCCACACGGCAGACGGCTTCGTCAGGAGTGACACCCACTCGCCAAGGGAGATGTCGTCACGTCACGATCCCTGTTCCCAGAACGCCCATAAACCGCCGAGCCCAAGGCGGACCTTTGCTCGCGTCGCCAAAAGCACTTCGGTAGATCAGCCAGAACTGGAGAGCGGCTGAGGCGCCTTCCTGAAGTACTCGACACGACGCAGCAGGACGGATTTGGGCTTGTTGAGCGGCGCCTTCGAATCTAGCTAAGAATTTGCTGCTAAGATTTTAGACACTGAAGATGCTTGCGGCAGGATGAGTACAGGACGAAGCAGATGCTGCGCGAACAGGAGGAGGATCGCATTGTGGCACTTCGATCGTGGCGTTGGCATGCATCAGGCTCACTGGTTGGATTTTGTCGAGAGCTCCTGGGGGCAGGAGGCGATCAGAAGAGCCGAAACGACTGCTGACCCGGAACAGGCTGAGGGCTGAGTTCTAAAGGCATTGCCGTGTCTTCAGTGCAAGCCTTTCGTCACAGGGGTCGCCCGTGGCGAAGATCATGTCGGTGAAGAGTGGCATTTCCGCTTCGCAGATGGAGGCAGCACTTGGCAACATCCCCAGCGCAGCACCGCAGCACCGGGAAGCACAGCGAAGCCCTGTCTAGAGTGTGAGAAGACTGTGCTGAGGCATTGGACCTTATGTGAAAGAAGAACGCATGGAAGCCCAGAGAACGGAGCCGCTTTGTGCAGTCAGTCGCATGGCATCGCAAGGAGTGGAGTACTGGTCAGCCACGCACTGCAAGCGCCAGCCTTAGCTCCTCGGTGAGCGCAAGCAAGACCGATAGATTGGCATTCTTAAGCAATGCGCTCTTCCTCAGACTGGTCCGTTGACAGTCTGAGGTGGTTGGCAGCATTCGCCGAATCTCATGGCCCCCATCCCAGCCCATGCCTCAGGCGGTAGGGCCACAGGAGGCGGGATGCAGGTGGACAGCAGTGATGTTGGCAACGAATGTAGAAAAACCCGTAAAGCAGAGCAGGTCAACAGCTGTCGATTCGAGGCACAGGCTCCATCTGCTATGAGATCAAGCTGGCAGGGAGCACGCAGCCGCACCGACCGGCTTATATGAGACATGGGGGTCAAGAACACGCACTTTGTGGACCGAGCTATGATACCGGAACTTCAGGTTTCTTGGTTCGACCAGGATCATTTAAGTGCGGAGGCTTTGCTGAGGCGTTACAATTTGTAAATGTGCCATTTCCATTGACGTACCGGCCAGGAGACGGCTGCATGTTCCGCTCGAGAATCTGCGGTCGCCGATTCTTATGGGGGAGTCGCTTGGCCTTGAAAGTCTGCCGGCAGATGAAGTCAAAACGCGACTGGCTAGGCGGTCCATTCCGAAAGTGCCGTTACTCGTGCATGCTGGTGCAGGGGAAGTGGTTGCTACGGCACGGCACGACTAAATGTATTCTGCCATGTCTGAGCTCCGGAAAGGCCCGTTTCCGCATGGTCTTCGAAGGATCGTCGCTGGCAAGAGCCCAAGGCGGCCCAGGCGGCACAGCGGCTGTTGGTCTGAAGTGGCAGAGTCCGATCTCAGCTTGAATCCCACGAATTAGATGACGCAAGGTCATACACAGAGACTAAGTGAAGCCAAGGCATCTCGCTGAGGCGGGTCGAGCGGTGCGGGTCTTAGTTCGAGCCGGGCTTCTCCTTGCTTCAAGCCTTTTCGCTCAGTGGCACTTGGAATAACAATCTCTTGCATTGGCATTGTGCTCAGGTCACAGCAGTGGCCTACAAGGTCGTAGCAGCAAACCTGGCGAAGAAGGCTGCCACATCCGAAAGTAGGTGCTTGTGATGCTTGGTAAGCGAAGGGAACTCAAGTTGAGCCCAATGCGAGCCCAAAGCGGCAGTGACCAAGCATACGACACGCAATGATCTGCTATGGAGAGATGACAAGAAGTCGCACTGTCCGATGGCCTGAAGAGGACCCCGTCTTCGACAACTTGCAGCCACACTTTGTATGGCCTGCAGCCCGGTGTCGGGGAATTGCCTGACAGATTCTTGATTCTCACTTGGGGCTACTGTGTACCCTGCGGTGTGTCTGCACAATTGTAAGAGCTCTTACGCATGTCAACTGCGATACGTTGTGTGTTTATGAGCTGAGTGCTTCTTGCTACGTCTTTCCACGACACCTAGCCTCAGCGATGTGGTTTCAGAACTTCGCGGATACATCACCAAGTTTGTCGCATTGTTAGACTGGATAGTGGAGAGCTGAAGTTTCGTCAGGGTCTTTCTGGGAGGTCTTGGTAGAAGTTCACGGTAGGCTTCCTGATTTTGTGTTATCTCGTCGTGGGGGTGGGTGCACAGGTTTTTCTCAATGTAGAGAGCGGAACGTCTTCTGAACTCCTTTTGACGTCTCAGGCGCCGCTTCGAGGAAGGAATGCCCGTGGAAGTCTACAGGAATCCCACGCTAGGCCGCCGGTATTTCGGCTTTGCGGGGCGTTAGTTGTTCGGAGTACCAGCATGGGGGCTTGCAACATGCACTGAGTCAGATAACATTCACCCCGAACATGCGCACCCTTGCCAGAGAATTGTGGCAATCCATCGACAGTGAGGCTGGGTTTCAGCAAAGGTGGTCAGAGATGCTTGCGCCTCAGACATCCGATGCATGCTCTGAACTTGATTGTTCGGAAGCTCCGTTTGTACATTAATTAATGTGGTCTTGACAAGAGAGTATATTCTGGAGTCTAGCGTGAATGGTCCAACAAGGCTGAGATGACAGACAAACCCTACGAGGCATGAACTGCCCGCTGTTTTTTCTGTTTGGGCCGCCGTACTACCATGCATCGGTTACTCTCCCCCAGCACTCAGTCAGGATGCCGCATCGTGCCTTTCCCTGCTGTCCAGGAAGCTATAGACAAAGGACGCCCTCCCAACTGGCGTGTTCCCCGGAGCTGCGGCAGTTCCCGACTTCGTCACCAGCCTGGCAGCCACTAGGTTTCCTGTGCTCGTGGAGTATGCAGACTCGGGGATGAAGGAGGATGTCTGGAGCTCAGAAGGCTGCATGTTCAATCAGCTCGGTATGATCAGATGGCAGAAACCGGGGTGAACACCCGGCACGCTATCGTGTAACGATTGCACGTTCAGGTTCCAGCATACCTTCTTCGTCGGGAATGCATGCTTGGTGCCAAGTCACTGAGTAGCTTGTCAACAACTTGCATGGCATTTCCTCCCATGTGCTTCTCTCAGGTCCTTGTAATGTGAGATCATAGTCGTGAGCGTGCAGCTCACCAACTTCAGCGCAGTCCGGTGCTTTAGGCAATCGAGCTCGTTGCTTTCGCTTGCATTCGCAGCTTGCTCAGGCAGTATTTTCCTGTGGCGAGTTTCCTTGTCTGCAGAGCCAATGTGCTTTGCAAAATGCCTGCAAGTTACATCGCGGGCACAGATAATGCTTTGCGTCACACCTTCAAGGCAAGGTGTTCGTTGAAATGAAGGGCTCATCCTTGCATGTTGCATTACAGAGGTCATGGTGCGTGCAAGCGGCTGTCATGCGGTCGACAAACCACACTTCCTGTCCTCTGAGAATATGCTCAAAACAATCGCGAAATGGATCCAACAATTCCCATATTGAAAGATACGAAAGCCAGTGTCTTCGGAGTACTCCTATGAACGTCGAACATAGAAGCTGGTGGCTTTTCATCCGAAGGCCACAACGAGCATGGGACTGTGGTGGGCGGCGGGAGCTGTGAGAATTCTGACAATTACTGCTACTACCACGACCACTGCCACTACACCACTACCACTACCAGGACGACGACGACTACTACTACTGCTACTGCTACTGCTACTTCAACCCACTGGTACCCACTGGTACTGCTGCTGCTGCTACTGCTACTGCTACTGCTACCACCACCACACCACCACCAATACCACCACCACCACCAATACCACCCCCACAACCACTACTGCTGCTGCTGCTGCTGCTGCTGCTACTGCTACTACCACCACCACCACCACCACCACTACTACTACCACTGCTACTGCCTCTGCTACTGCTACTGCTGCTACTACCAGTACTGCTACTTCTACTACTCCTACTACGGCCACTACTAGTTCTAGCGCCGCTACCACTACCACCACCACCACCACCACCCCCACCTTGTACCAGTACCAGTACTAGTATTAGTACTAGTAGTAGTAGTAGTAGCAGCAGTAGTAGTAGTAGTACTACTACTACTACAACTACAACTACAACTACAACTACAACTACAACTACAGCTACAACAACTGCTACTACTACTGCTACACTACTAGTACTACTAGTGCTGCTACTATTACGGGTACTAGTACTAGTACTGGTGCTGGCGCAAGTACGAGTACTAGACACCTTCCCCTCCAAACTATGCTTGCTCCACCCGGGCTCCGCAGTGGTAGCTTCTAGGGCGACAGTTGCAAAGATTCTAGGGCTCAGGCTCTGTATTTGTGATAGCTGCAAAAGTTGCAGAGGCTCAGTTTCCTTAACTGTCACAGCCGGTGAAGTTGCAGAGGCTCAGGCCCCCAAAGCTGCGACAGCAGCTGGAGTCGCAAACTCGACGGGGAAGACACTGCTAAACCACAGGTGGTCGAATAGTGCGAGAACCTTGTAAATACCGTGCAAAACGCAGGTGCTGCCAAGAAGGTTTTAACACTCCTAAAACTTGAAGCGCAACATCTTCTAAACATCAAAAACAAAATGCCAGCTGTACGTGGGAGGGGCTCGCCAAGGCCCCTGAAGCCCAGACCTCGGCGTAGGAGGGTTTGTTTTTGAAGTGGGGTGTGGTGTGTGCGCGCTAGGGTGAGGAGATATTATTCGGGGTGTCCGCGAAACAGTGTCGTGATCATCCGGAAGTAGGTTTGGTGACTATACAAATGGGCCGACATTACGCAAGTACTGTAAATAACGAGTGAAACGGCTCTTTTGGAGAGATCGTTCGAGGTGTCGGCGTAACATTGTTGTCATCATCATCCCCCCGATCCCACTCCAAAAGCGAGTCCAAAATCCGAAGCTCGAGTTTGCAAACTCGACAAGTCGATTCTGAGGCCTCACAAGATGATCCTACATGACGAAAGTGCCGCAAATACTGAAAATTCATGTTGTCTTAACATAGCTCATAACAAGTGTAGTTGGTAGCGGGGTGGGTGCCTAGTACGAGTACTACGAGTACTAGTCTAGTACTAGTGCTAGCTCTATCACACAAGCGCTAGCATTTGCAGCAGCACTGGTACTAGTGCTAGTACTGGTACTAGTAGTACTAGTAGTAGCAGCAGTAGTAGCAGTAGTAGTAGTAGTAGTAGTAGTAGTAGTAGTCGTGGTGGCAGTAGTAGTAGTAGTACTACTACTACTACTACCACCACGTTCGATACAACTACAACTGTGAAACTTAGGCATGTCTTAGCCTTGTGCATTGGCTTATGCGTCTGAAGCTGTGTGCCGCTGACTTTCGGCCGAAGTGGGCCCACTGAGCTGAATCCCTTTGTGCGAGCGCAAAACATGTGACTTCCGCTGCGCTGTGCTCTTGAGTTCGTAAGTTGGCACCGGAGCCTGCTTTTCGGGCGGCTTTGCTTCTTTCCCGGACTTCGGCGATGCCGCGTGTGCCCGAGATGTTCAAGTTGGCCTCGGACGACGACCGCGGCGACGAGCCGGAGGAGGACTCTGAAGCGATGGCGGGCATTGCCCACGAGGACCCAGGATCTCCTGCTGAGTCCGTGGAGAGACAGAGCCCCCAGACCCAGGGACCTGAAAACAATGAGTGGCGATGCCTTCGTTGTGACGGCAACAGGTGGGTGCAGAACGTCTACGGCACCTGGCTTTGTTGCTCCTGTGAGAGCACCGAGGCTTACTCCTGCCGGCGCCCTCACAGACACGAGACCGACGAAGGCGTCTGGATGTTCATGCCAAGGCAGACCATGAATCAAGGACGGCAAGGCCCTCGAGCTGATGTGCCTGCCGGCCGCGCCCCGGCTCTTCTCTCGAGGCGGGAGCGCCGACGACGACGTGCCGCACACCATCCGGGCGGCGACCCTTCTGAGTCGAGCCTGGGCGATGCTTCTGAGGTTCCCGAGTCGGAGACCCTCACCTTCGACCCTCTTGTGGAGCCGGACACCGACGACGCACCACCGAGGCCGAGCAGACCAAGGCGGGCGACTTCCTGCCCGGCGACGCCTCCCAGCACTTCCGGACCTACCTCACCGCCTCGACCCTCGACTTTGCCCACAACGACTTTGCCTCAGAGGACACCGGACCCTTGGAGACCGACGGCCGGCCGGACCCGCGACTTGGGGATTTCGGCATTGACGCCGCCGGCCTCAAGCGAGACGACTTGGAGGTCGAGAATGGGGCCAGAGAAGGGGGTGAGATGGAGAGGCGGGGCACCACCGCCACCGCCCGCTTGGAAGTACGATCCGCAGGACCCAAGGGCATTCTCCAAGTACTGCAAGAAGGTTTCCCTTTGGAGAATCCAAGTGTCGAGCTACCTCACCCCACGTGAAGCGGCGCTCTCCTTGTACACCAGTTTGACCGGAGAGGCCGAGACGGAGCTCGAGCACGCCCCGATCGAGTCGATTAACACCGACAAGGGCATCGATTTCATATTGGAGACCCTGCGGGCCCCGATGGAGCAGAAGGTGGTCTTCCAGAAGAGGAAGTTCCTCAGCGAGTACGAGAACATCCAGCGGCAGCCTGGCGAAGGGCTGCGTGCCTTTAGCAATCGCTACCGCCGATCGGAACGAAACCTCCGAGCAGTGAATGTGGAGGTGACCCAGATGTATGACAGCGACGCCCGCGGCAACCGCTTGCTGGAACGGGGGCCAGGCTATCTCCTCAGGACCAGCGGCTGATACTTGTTGGCAGCCGGTACTCTTTGAGCTTTGAGGACATAGCAGAATCGATGCACATGCAGTACCCGGAGTTCCGGGCGGCGCCACCTGTGTGTGGCCGGGATGGCAACCCACTTCCTCGAAAAGGCGACGGCAAAGGCAAGACGAATGGTGCTCCCGGCAACTCGGCTTCTACCTCGGGCTCTTCACACGCCGGCCACGGCAAGGGCTACCCTCCGAAAGGAGCTCCCCGGCGAGTTTACAAGACGGACCAGGTCGGTGAGCAGACCCTCGACGAGATCCCGGAGGAGCCGGAGGAGCGGGACGACGAGCCCGACGAGCAGGACGACCAGGACGCCGAGGCGCACCAGGATGACGGCGACGAGGCCGAGGACGCCGACGATGACCCGATCACCCAGGCCATGGACGTGCTGACCGTCACCGCGAAGAAGTTGAGCAGCCTTAAGTTGGGCAGGAAGTTCAGTGGCGGCCCAAAGGGCGGCAAGGGCGGCGGCCGCGACATCGCCGCCCAAAAGCGCACATCGAACTGCGCGGTGTGTGGCCAGACCGGCCATTGGAAGGGCGACCCCGAGTGCCCCGCGACTCCTTCGAGCTCTTCTCCTTCGACGGCGGCACAGCCAAAGGGGGCGGGCAAGGAAAAGCGGCCACCGCATCAGGCCTTCTTCGTCAAAGACTTTGGCGCCGTGGCGGTCCAAGACGAGCCTGGCAGCCCGCATTTTGGCACCATGTTTCAGGTGAATGTGGTCTTCGAGGTTCAGGCCGGCAAGCTTCGCGATCCCGACCCTGACTTCCAGGACCTTATGATTTTGGACACGGCGTGTCAACGGACATGCTGCGGAAAGGGCTGGCTGGCTTCCTTTAGCACTTTGCTGGAAAAGTTCGGTCTGCAGTGCCACCGCACCCCTTTTCGAGATGCTTTTCAGTTTGGCGCGGGCAAGCCGGTTGTGGCCGACCATCGGTCGTACCTGCCTGTGGGCATCGGAGGCACGAACCTCCTCATCGGAGCCGGCGCCCTTGGAGTAGAAATACCCTTGCTTGCTTCGAATGGTTTGCTAGATGACCTGGGGATGATACTTGATTTGCCGAATAGCCTCGTGACTTTCGCCACTTTGTCCGTGACAGTGCCTTTGCTTAGGGTCGGTGGCCACCTCACCGTGCGCATCAGTGACTTCTGCCCACAGCAGCTCACATGGCAGGCCTTGCAGGAAAGCGTTGACTGGGAGAATCCTCCGCCGGAGCTTGTGGTTCAAGGTGAGCTTTGCGATTCTTCGAGCCCAACCGCTCCTCGGACCTCTTCGGCACATGCCTGGGCTGACCGGCCAGCTGGCCACTCCACCGCAATGGTTGCGCAAGTGGCGGCGCTTCGTGGCGAGCCTCATCGACTTCCGCAAGAACTTCTTCGTGACCCTCACCACGGCGGTGCGCCTGCGGCTGGTGCCGATCGAGATCTACGAGGCGGTGCCCCCGAAGCTGGACAATCGCTACGAGCACCCACCGAGCACTTGCAAGCATCCCGACTATGTCCGGTACGGCAACGCCTACGGGAAGTTCGCCAGGTGCAAGCAGTGCCACAAGAGGTGGCGGTGGAATGCAGACCGCCAACTGTGGGAAGAACATCCCGACAGGGCCTTCGACACCAAGTTGCTCGATTCGCGACCTCCCTTGCCATCTTCCTCCAATACTGCACCTCGGGGCTCGGCGGCGGCGGCTTCTTCGGCGACACCGCCCCGGCTGTCGAGACGGACTTCTTTGAGCGCGGCTTCTCCGAAGACCTTCTCGGCACCTCCCAGACGCGGCTCTCGCAGGTCACGGCCGGCGACCAGTGGCAGCGAAATGGAGCTGGATCCGTGGCGTCTCTTGGACACGGATCAGGACTTCGACTGGGAAAACGTAGAAGATTGAAAGGCGACTGGGCAAGGTCAGCGAGGATCCTGGAGAACGAGGTGGAACTTTATGCCCGGCAGCCTTGTGCAAGCTCGCGGCCGCCTCCCGCAGTCGACCTCCTGGTGATCTACCCGGGGAACTTCGACGTCGCCACCGCCGCGGCCTCCCTCGAGCTCTCCTCCTTAACGTTTCCCCCGAAGCTGACCGAAGCCCTTCCAGACCGAGGCGATGCACGACAGCAAGCACTACGAGCACTACGACGGCTTAAGCCACACGTCATCTACTTCTCCTTTTCGGCACCACAGCTGAACAGTTCCAACGATGCCTTTGTGACCGAGATGGTCGAGGCACAAACGGCGGCGGGCGGAGCTTCCTTGATGCTTGGGCCGCCGGGTCCCTCCTTCTTCGACCTGGGGTCCCGCCTAGATATGGCGTCGACTACTTTCGGGCACGGCCCTTCGGCCACGACCTTCTTCACTACAATCCCGGGCGCTTGTGCATCTATCGAGCTCGCCGCTGCGGGCGACACCGAGAACTTCGGCATCTACCGGGACGCCATCCTTTACACGATTCGGGACTATGTGCGTGCCAAGGACCCTGGGAGATTCGGCTTGTACCAGACTTTTGTCACCTACCGCACCCCAGTGTCCAAGCTAGAGGAGTGGAGCGAGATTGCTTCACTTTTGGAGCGTTCCTTTGGTGCGCCCGGGACGCGGCCATTCTACATTGACCCGACCAGCGAACTCGGCCGCAAGATCGCAGACCTCTTTCGCATCAAGGTTGAAAGGATCCAGGCGGTGCAGACACCGTCCCAGCGGCGACTTCCACAAGACGTGCCCTACACTGCTCGTGGCGCCTACCTCATCCACAACGACGGCACGAAAAGCATTGAGCTTGAAGACCTCAGCCTGGTTCAGCAGCCGAAGCAGCGATTTGCGAAACCCGTGCGGTACGGGCTCCTTGTCTACGGCCACCTGATCGCGGAAGACGAGCCCAAGGAGGACTTTTCTCCCAGTGCTCCTGTCTCCGGGTTGCCCACGGATGTTTCGTTTCCTGGGCTCTCGACTCAGGTGCCTGTTGAAGTGAGACGATCCATCGCCAGGGCACACATCAACATGGGCCACCCCACGGCTGAGGAACTGATTCGCATGGCAAATGCAGCAGGGACTCCAAGCAGCTTGTTCGTGGAGGCCATCCGCAAACTTCATTGCGCCACGTGTGCCCGACTTAAAGGACCACAAGCTCCGAGACCAGCGACCTCCACAGTGACCGCGACCCAGTTTGGCGACCGGGTGGAGATCGACCTGTTTTACCTTAGAGACCTTCGAGGCCGGAGCTGCATGGTCCTTGGCGCGGTGGATGTGGCAACACGCTTTCACCAAGCGGCTATCCTCTCAAGCCGCGACCCTCAGGATGCCTACGATGCCTTCGAAGCTATGTGGTTGAGACCTTTCGGTTTGATGGTTCAGGTCGGGCTTGATCCAGACCCCACTTTTCAGGGCAACTTTCAGGAGCGGCTTCGCTCACACGGCGTCCTCGTCGACTACTGCGCGGCTGAGGCACACTGGCAGATAGGACACGTGGAGCGTCAGAACGCCTTCCTGAGGACCGTGCTTGAGAAGTTGGTGGACACCTTTGCAGCCACCGAGGTCGCAGACATTCGGCTCCTCCTGGCGCCGGCCCTCCACGCGGTCAATAGCATGACGCTCAGCCGGGGAAGATCCGCTTACCAAGCGGTGTTCGGCAGGGTACCTAGACTGCCCGGGGGACTGCTGACTGACAGCAACAGCTTGGCAATGACCCCAACAGACGACCCCGCGGCGACTGCTGAGATCATCCGTTCGGAGGCCCTCAAGACGCTCTGCGACATGAACGTTCGGCAAAGCTTGCGCCGCGCACTCCTTCGCAAGACCATCAACACCAAGGTCCCGCAGTTGGAACCGGGTCAGAGTTGCTCTTATTGGAGATGGCGCAAGCGAGGGTTGAAAAAGAGAGGTGGATGGATCACGGCCCGCTTCCTTTCTTGGGACCCAGCCTCTCCTGGGAAGCTAGCCTGGGTTCGTTCCGGGACCACCACGGCCATGGTCGCGGTGGAGCAGTTGCGGGCAGCCACGGGCTTTGAAGCATGGCTCCCTACCGAGCCAGATGTGGCGGCACTCAAGGACGCCGCACGCAAGTTGGACGAGACGCTCTGGGCGGATGAGACTGGACCTCCTCCACCACGACAGCACCTGCACGACGACAACGAGACCATGACCCTCGACAACATCGACGGCAACGACGTTGAGATGGACGCCGCCTTGACCTCTGCAGCCGCTCTTGCACCGGTACTTCCAGCGGCCACTCCGGGCCCAGCCGGCCCTGCTACGCAGATCAACATGGACCTCGACCAGTCGGTGCAGAACCTCGTCTACCAGCCCACGGTCCAGAACACTTACGTGAGGAACACGGCTCGATTAGGTGATCCTTCTCAAGGAGCAAGACGGGGATCCTCGATCCCTCGGACCCCACGTGGAACGCCAGCACCGAGGACACCCCGGAGCAGGTCTCGTGGACCTCCTGCACTTCAGCCACAACAAGAAGGACCACAGCTACAACAAGAACCTCCAGAACCTCCTGTTCCTGACGCCAGTTCCGTCCAAGGTGCACTTCAGCTACCACAAGAAGTACCACAGCTACAGCAAGAACCTCCAGAACCTCCTGTTCCACCGGTCCCTGAGACACCTTTGGAACCAGGTTGGGAGTCGGCACCGTTTGGTCTTGACTCTGCGGCGTACGAGACAGATCCAGAACCAGATCCACTACCACAAGCTGAGCTTGAGCAACTACTACGGGCCTCGTCGGCGACAGCTCCGGCCTCGCGGAACTCGGCACCTTCTACAGTGCAACGTGAACCTTCAGTGCCTGAGGCTTCCAGTGGAAACCGAGAGTCTGTTGAGCACCCGCCGACGACACCGATTTCGAGCACGCCGACCACCCAAGAAGGGGAACCGGCGGACCTTTTACCCGCAAAGCGTCCTTTTGACACTTTGACTACCTTCTTCTTGGACGAGGGCGACCTCTACCACTGCCCACCGGGACAAGAACCCGTAGAAGGATACGGTCCTCTTCAAGAACGGTGCTACAAGGCCTACCTGACCTCCAAGCACCGCTCCGACGACCTTAAGGGAGAGGACAAGCACGACGTCGAGACAGACACCAGTGACAGTGATTGGAGTGATGCGCCACCGTCCAAGCAGGAGCGCGGCATGACCCGCGCCGAGGCCAAGGCCCTCGACCGTGAAATCCCATGGCGGAAGATCATGGAAATGGACCCCGCCGACATCCAGGCCTATGTGGCTGCGACCGAGAAAGAGGCCAAGAGCTGGAACGACTGGGGGTCAGTGCGACCGCTCTCCAGCCAGGAGGCCCAGGCAGTGTTGCGTGACAAGATCCTGTGCAAGCGCGTGCTTCGCACTCGCAGCTGTTTCAGGGACAAGAGCAAAGGCTTGGGGCCGTTGGCCGCGAAATGCAGGGTCGTAGCCTTAGGGCACAAGGACCCGGATATCTACCGGCTCAACCGCGAGTGTGCCACCCCGAACCGCACCTCGGAGCATGTTCTCTTTATCGTCCTTACGGCCGGCAGCAACATGGAGTTTGACAACTCGAAGAAGAAGTGGCATGGATGGTCAGGCGACGCGGCAACGGCCTTCCTTCAAGGAGACCTCTCCGACACCGAGCGGCAACTTCCACTTTACCTGTTGCCGCCCAACGACGGCATCACCGCCTTGACCTCGTGCTGGAAAGCTCCCTTGTACTTGGTGTGTACCAACGTTTACGGTTTGAGCAACGCACCTCGACTCTGGTCTTTAACGGTGATTAAAAGGCTGTGTGACCTCGGCTACCGCCAGCACTCGTTCGACAAGATGGTCTTTCTGAAGTTCAACTCCCAGGGAGAACTCATCTCCCTCATCATCGTCTATGTCGACGACTTCTTGGGCACCTACCGTTCCGACTACAACGTCAG